TACTCTTTATTTTGCAGCTGTTGTATTTACTGTGTATAAGGAACGGACATAGTTTGAAATTTTAAGATCACAGCCTGGCTAAATGGCTAGAAGCCAGTCTCCTATAGAAAATAAAATGTGAAGCACCCAGTTGAGAAATGAGTTGAGACATTTTTTCTATAGTCATAAAAACCAACATATCACTTTCTTTTATAATTTTATTACTTACAAAATAAAAACAAGTTAGGAAAAATATTTTCCTTTGCAAGATATAGAAACTACAATCTTTGGAAAATACATAGCCCCCCATACTTGTTACAATACATAGCCTTGTATACCACTTGAACATTGTTTAAAAATCATACCCTGTAAAGGTTGGGATAAGAACAATGTCAGCCACATATTGTGACATTCAAGTACTTAAGATACAGCCAAAAATGAAACATGTTTCCAAATGGTTTTGTCTTCCACAGTACCAGAGACTCCTCTATTTTGTAAGTTAGTCGGTGTTTCCAGGAGTGTCTGACTTTCCATAGGTGGAACTGAGAAGAGGCTGCCTCCACGGAAACCCAGCTACTGCGGGTCTCCATCCTGTCATCCCTGTTTATGGAGCTTGGCCCCCACAGGATGATCTCTAAGACAGCTCTGAGCTCAAAAAGGCTGTTGACTGTGTTTTCTGAGATGCTGATAGAATGACATGGTTGCAAATCTAAGTTCCAAGAGTATGAGTCAGGTCAAGTGTGATTTAGATGACTCAGCTAAACAAGTATCATCTAGGATGTCAGATGGAAAGTACTTTAAAAAAAGCATTTAAAGTTCCTCTTTGGAACTACTGGAGGAGATCCTCTTAACAGAATCTAAGTCCCAGGAGCCCGGTTCCTGCCTTTGGAAGAACTGTGGGAGACTGGGAAAGAACAGACAGCCCCCCAACTCTGCAGCTGAAGATAACAATAGAGGCTGTCTGGCAGAGTAAGATGTGGCAGCCACTATGGCCTTACCATAAAGGCATCCAGAGGGACAGACGCATGGTCATGTACTCTCAACACCCTGACCAATCTCCCAAACGTGCCTCTTTCACAGGAGAGTAGGGGCCTGCTGATGCTCCACAGTTAGAGTCTACTGTCTGAGTTCACACTAGTCTTGTGGTACAGCCGGTCAGTCAAAGACTAGCATTTATTTGTGATTTGTGTTATATATGCAAGAAACAGTGAAAGTCAATCTACTGTGGATTAATAGGTCTTTACATTTTTCATGTTATAATGTATTGTTCCAAAATGGAAGAAGACTGTAAGAGTAAGTTTAATAACAGACCTGAACTTTAAAGGGGCTACCTGCTAGAGCTTTTGTCAATGAAAATGGTACAATCTGGGCAATTTGATATGGCCTAACCTAGAACAATCCTGAGGAAACTGTATTTGGCATCACACTATGAATTCAAAGTGAATTTGTAGAAAATCATCACATCTCAAATGTAAACACCTCAGGATGGGAATGTGCACATTAGTCACGCCAAGATTTCTCTCTCATGATTTTAAGATTGGAAATCTTAGAATGTGAGAAAAAAAATAGTGCAATCTCAATAAAACAGGAGACCATTAAAACTTCAAAATGATAGCCAGAGTTACTAACAGACAGAGAGAGAGAACTGCTAACCACGTGTGGCGAGCTAAAGGCTCTGTTCAGAGAGGACATATAAAAATTCCAGCCTCAAAACAAAAAGGCACAAATAAGAGTTAAAAGTGTAATGACCATCTGGGAGATCCTTGAAAATAAGGCTGGTTCACTTATATTCCTATCGGGAAATAGGCACCTGTACCAAGTTTCAGCTTTGGCATCCTAAATGCAATCACACTGCAAATGAAGGATTAACACAGTACTAATTATAGCAGCATTGTCAACATTAAGCTTCTTATCTATACCGCTAAAATAGAGTATTTCCCATCCATATCCTGTGTCAAAAATAAAGTTTTAAAAATTGTACTCATAAAAATTTCTGAAATTCCTCAAATGAGCTATCTTCTCAAATGACACCCCGACCCCAAGAAGCCAAAGCAAAAATAAAAGCTATCCAAAAATTGCTAGGCTAGACTAGCTACTCTTAATTAAAAAGATACCATATTCAAAAATGGTACTTTATTTATGAAATTTATTAAATATAACCGATGAATAATGCAGATTTTCCAGGTATGTGTGTAGGTGTGTAAGATGTCTAAGCTGGGTGATGGCATACTTGAAAAAAAATATAGATTTCAACAGGGACATTTCACTTGGAACTCTGGACCCACCTACGAATGGTTGCTCCGGTAGTACTGGCGACTACACAGAGAGCCCCACCCACCGTCCACCAGGTCGGCATATTATCAAAGAAAGCAATCTGGAAGATAAAAGCAAAGACTATATCCATTGTCTTCATTATTGCTACGAGCCCCGCTTTTTCTATTTGAACCGCTTTAGTGATAAATATCTGACCCCCTAAACCCAAGAGTCCAATGAGTATGAGAAACAGCCTATCCAGCCCGCAATACGGGAGACTCCATTCTCCTATGACAAAGAGGATGATGATGCATTCAGGAAGGCCAAGTATGACGTAATACCAAATGCTCAGAAAGTAGTCCACAGATTTTCCCATTTTTCTTAGGATAACCAGAGTCATTGCAGCTAGCACAGCATGTCCAATTGCAGCAAATGTTCCCTTAATGTGCTCTGAATAGCTTTCTCTCATGCCTGAAGTGTCGGAGCCAAATAAAAATGGCGGTCTCACGATAAGGATCACTCCAACGAACGCGAACAATGTGAAGAAAGCATCCCAAAGGCTATACTTTTCCTTGAGAAATATCCAAGCAAATATTGATGTAAACACTGGACAGCTAAATGCAATAACTGTGGCATCTGCGAGGGACGTCGTCTGGAAAGCATAGTACATAAGGATCATGGCACTGGAACCAAAGACCCCTCTGAGAAGAAGGAAAAGTCGTTGACCTTTGGGACCTATGAACCCAGTTCTGCAAATTTAAATGAAAAAAGAATGCATTTTAAATGAACTTAGCATTGCTTTCAAATCAAAATGTTTAATCAGACATTATTCTAAAAGTACATTATATTAAAAATAAGGGAGTAATAAATAGTAAATGCTACCTACTGTTGAATAATATGAATCCTTTAAAAATATTTTTCTAGGTATAGATAATGATGGTTCAAAATGTTCATAGCAGGAGCAAAAAGAGAACACAGAACCACATAAAAGCATGACAAAAAGTTGGTAAATATAGATAATTGTTTTCCCCATGTATATTCTTGCGAAACATAAAGACAAAAAGGACTAGATGTGAAGAGATGTTATATATCCTAGTTGTAGAATTATGTAATTTCCCCCAACCTTTCTATGATGAAAATACATTGTTTTATAATAAACATAATTTCGAGATTTTGTGACACTAAATGAGGCAGCTTAATCCTGGCTAATGTACACTCAATCAAATCAACTCTTCTATCAAAGTTGAACAATGCTAGAATTTAGTTACTGAATATAAGGTAACTTTTCATTGTTCTTATGAGTTAAAATACAGTGAGAAAAACAAAAGCAGTGGTTTGATACATAAAACTAGTGTTTTTTGTTTTTTGTTTTCAATTAAACACTCAGAACCTACTCTGATAGTTCCTAGCTAGGTACAACTCACTGACTCAGGCTACAGCAGACTTCATCCAGGTAAACATGAACATCTTTGTGTATCTCGACTCAGAACAAATCTGTGGCCCATATGTATGTGGAATGCTATGAACGTCCCATGATAGTGAACACAACATCAAAACAGATTAGAGCCAAAGATTTTCAAAATACTTTCTAGCTTTGGATATTTTTATTGAAACATGGAGAATATGGTTGCTAACCCCAGTGTTGTTACCTCCTTTAGAAAGTGGTGCCAGCTCACCATTATTTCTGGAAGCACTCCGGCTTATACATTTACATGGGAATTGCTGGCAATATGAATCTTTGCAGATTGTCACTTTCTAACCAATTTCTCAGGATACAGAATGGCACTATTCTAAATGAATCTGCATCACAGCATGGAGACAAGGAGGTTCTGGAGGCAGGCAATGGAAACTTGTTTTGAGATTTAAGCATCTTCAGCTTCCAAACAGAAAGAGCCAGGTAGCCAGTCAGGGCCCAGGTAGTCTCCTCCCAGGGTTCAAAGAACACGAAGGTATGTGTAAGTTACAAGCGGGGGTGTGGGGTTGTATTCGTAATTCCAGCCCTACTGAGAATGACAGATTCCACACAGAAGAAAAGGGATCAAGTATGGAAGGAGAGTGGGAGGGGGCAATAAAAGTACCTGTCTGTTGAAGTCTCCAGAAAGCACCCTAACCTAACTCTTATCTAACCCTTGCAACCTGCTCTGGGGCACAGCCCTGAGAGCGCCACTCCCTCCAGTTTACAGAGTGAGAAACTGAATACCAAAGTAGTCAAAGACCTTGCTCAAGGTCCTGCCTGCCGTCCTCTGTAAGACCGCCATCTTACTGGCATGATCTGGCAGGGCAGTCTGTCCCACTGAAAGAAACCTGATACTACATAACTCCTATCATTTACTTTTTAATCTTCAAAATGCCAGTTATGCCGAAGTAAAGGAAGGAGGTGGTACACCCAGAATTTTGTTTTCAAACAGAGAGGGTGAACAACCACATGCCATTGTTCTCCTTTGATGGGCATGTGGTATGTATGTACTTATGGTGGAATCTTCTGTGAGTAGATCCTGAGAACATGTCATTAATCAGGGTGAAGGGGAACAGACTGGTCAATCTATGATAAACCAGCTACTACAGAGAAAATATCAAGGCAGTTCAAAAGATTTACACACACTTATTAATCTCCTCTACTTCACTCTAAAACATACTTACTTTCTGTATATTAAGCAAGGAATAATAACTAGCATTTGGAACACACATCGAAATGCACTGATCTCTACAGCATGGACGTCTTGCACTTTTTTAACAAATAAAGAGGCCACTGAGAAAAGGAAGGCAGACAACACTGTGTAAAACAAGCCAAGTCCAGGACAGGGTGCTTTCTTCTTGGCTTCTGAAAAAGATTAAATTCTGGTTAGTCCTTGCTTCCAAGTATATGTTTCATCACTTTCACTTAGAAATAAGTTGAGGAAGATGCACTGTATTAACCAACAGCTAGATGTTAAGGTAAGACCTTCACATCCCTGGTCTTGTACCACTTTCCCTACCCATTACGAAGAGTCCATAGGCGTGGTTAACAATTTAAAACTACATTTTAAAAGATGACATTTCTCCCAATAAAAGATGATTCCTTCTGGCTCACTAAGAATCATCCCTCATTTTACAAGTCAAGACAATCTTGCTAAGACGGTGAGAGGATCTTTAAGAAACACTTGTCAAATGCAAGTGAAAAGCACTTCTCAGTGATATAGAGCCTTCCATTCTCTCACTGGGGAGCTTCGGGAAGGACGTTTACAACTGTTTCATCTGGTCATTTGTTGATAATCTGACTTCTACAGGCCTATAAGCTTTTCTGGGGCTGGGACCTCAGCTGTCTTGTTCATGCCTGGAACACACGCAACCTGAATAAGTATCTAGTGAAGGAAAGAATAGGAGAACTCCAGAGAAAGACACAAGGGCCTAACATTACTGGCAAGAAGATTAAACTGGAAAGGCTCTCCTGTTGCGTAAATGTGAGCTGCTAACTTTTTAACTCCTTCCTGCCTTAATCTAAACCAGGACACTTGTGCTTTCTGAAGGTCTTCAAATATGTAACTTATTACTGACATCCTGTGTAGCATTAATGACAAGTCACACACGCAGTGTATGGACACACCCCACTCTCTCCTCATGAACACCAAAAAGAGACAGTAATAAGGAAAATAAGTGATTCTCGTCAATTAAGAGTCTGCTGGAGACAGGAAACCTGCGAACGATGCAATTTACTTTGAACTTGGTCAGCCACTCCACTCAGAGTGTTCAAAGTGTTACTCAGCTACGGAACTCTATTGCATAATTATGTTCTCTTTTTTAAAATGCCCTTCTCTGATAAATGATACACCGGGTAATATATTTCAACATCCTCACAGCAGATACCTTTGTCCACAGGTGCCTGCAAATCGTGATCAAGGTATGAAGACAGCTAGCTTCTCTGGCGACACCATACAGCCTGGCCTTCAGATGCCCTTTACAGAAACCTCCCTGTTCTAGGCACACAGGTGGAGGGACTGCTTTGAAACTGTTCCTCTGTTACAGGTGCCAGAAGCTCTCCTCCATGCTACCTTTACCCCTGTGCTCCAACGCTGTGGGAATGAACTACAAAACAGCCACTCAGGCCCCGAGGAGGAAACTTCAGGAGACTTCCAGGCAAAAGCACCACAAAATACATGCCTTGGCTGTGGTCAGCCTAAGAGTTGGGCTTCTGAAATTACAAAATTTAGATCCAAATAAAACAAGTTTTCTCAAATGAAACCTCCACCCTCAGACAGAACAGAATGAAAAGTCCTAGGACAGAAAACACCCTCCTGGTTTATAATCCAAGGATCTTCTCCAACTTAAATTCAATGGCTTTTTCTTTAAGAAGTGTAACAGTATAATTCAACTTTAAAACACTTTTAAGAAAAAACACACTTCTTTTGAGGCAGGGTCTCTCTATGTAGCCCTGGCTATCCTGGAACTCACTATGTAATCAGACTAGCCACCAACTCAAGAAATTTGCCCACCTCTGCTTCCAAAGGTGTGTGCCACCATGCTCTGCTTAAAAACCCGCAAATATTTAAGATTCTGTGTTTTCTGATTAGGGAAAGGCAAGTCACAGAAAGTTGAACTGAACTTGACTGTTACTGAAGGCAAGGATGTTCTGACCTCAGTTTCTTACTAAATGATCATTCCAGTTCCCTCTGACAATGGCGATGAGCTGAGCAGTCTAAAGAGGGATTTGCTCACAAGATACACTTCCACACTCACAGAAAGTGTGTCTCATCACTCCACACAAGTTAAGAACACTACTCAGATTAAGTGGTCACCGTACAACATATACTAGAAGAAAGTAAAAACCCATTTCCTTGGCTTCTCCACACTTGGCTTCAAGCCAGTGATCTGGACCTGGCTGAGAACCACGGGAGTGACTTAAAAATTCCATTTCCAGGCCCCACCCCAGAACTTCTGGAACTTTGTAAAAGCTGATTGGAGGTCCGGTGATGCAGTAGTGTTCACTCCAACAGGAGAGTGTGAGGCACAAGGCTAAGCTGACATCTCTCCCTTTAGTACCAGATCCACACTGCTCCGAAAACGGCAAACAGGTAGCCTGACAGCTGTAAACTGTCCGGTAAGGTTCTCCAGTTCCAACCTAAACTTGAAGATGAGCTTGGTTAAGAAACCACTTAGATCAAGAATCTCAAAGCCAGGCATGGTGTTGAATGCCCTTAATCCCAGCACTCAAGGAGGCTTAGGGAGGACTGAGTGTGAGCCACCCTGAACTGGAGGCCCT